TTTTTGGTTTTTCTCCGGTACCGGGAACCGAACTCACGACCTTGCGCTTGCCAGGCAGGCGCTTTTGCCGCTGAGCTAAATCCCCAGCCCACCACCTGCTTTTCAAAGTTGAATTCAGTCTCCAAGTTTGCTTGAATGCCCACATCCTGACATTCACTGTCTTCAATGTCTTATAGCATTGCTGAAATGACCAAAGTGAGGGAACTGCTGAGTGACAGCTGGGCTGATGGGGTCCTGACCAGCTCCCTTTGAGCTCAGGGAAAAGACATGACTGGTTCTCAGCCTGCCATGGTAGAGCTAGTTGAGTCACTTACATCTCTGCGCTATTTTGAGGTTTTCAACTCACTGCTTGTTAAGTATTTGACTTTGTGGACTAGTACTAATAAGCTCTGTGCCCAGCAAGTACTTGAAACTGAGACTTACAGTTCATGTAGCCCTATGTTCTTAGCTGCATATTTAAACAATTTATAAATTTGTTCCACTATCTTGTTTAAATACAACACAACTGATACTTCAAACATTTATTTTGTTCTTGGTATGATCTTCAAGTGAGGTGCTTATTTAGTAATTTGCACTCACAAAATAGTTTTTCTTGAGTTTTGGATAACATCTATCTCAAAACTGAAAACGAAGAAAACCTCACCAACAGAACTTTTGTAAACATAGTTTTTATTCTTGTCTTACCTTCAGTGAAAAAGCCCTCATGCCACCAGAACAAAATTGGAAATGCTGAACTCCACAGCCTGATGATTACTTCTCAAGACAACTGCTGGATTATATTGCTTTTAAAAAAATAACTATGATATATTTTTATTACTTTATTCTTCTTTAAAGCAGCAATATCTCCTCTCACATTGTCACAAAAAATCTAAAATATCTCTTAATAGTCCCAAGTGTCTTATATTTCTATTTGTTCTAAATGTTTGTTCCATTAAGAGTTTTCAGGAATAAGTGCACTTCTAAGAGAAAGTAAATTTTAAATAAAGAAAACAGCAAATAACCATGGTTGTAGCAAAACAGTCATTTTGAATGTTCTGAATTTTTAACAATTCAGACAGAATGTTTCTAGTAGTGAGAGATGACTGTGGATTAAAATCTCAATCATTAATGTACTTGTAGACCATCAAAAGACAGAAGCTATTTCTCTTACCAGTAGAGACTGATTATCTAAAGAGGTTTTCTACACTAAAACACCAAAAGTAAATATACTTCAAATATGTTAAAATTTACAGCTTTACACAAAGATATGCAGGAGTTTGAAAAACAAAAGGATGCCACTAGGGAAACAAATGAAACCCTACCATATGCCTCAGCAAAGAATACTTTTGATAGTCCACATTTGGTATTTTTCTATTAAACTAACTAGCTCATTAGATCAGCTATACATTTCATTTAGAAGTGGCTGGCTTAAAAGCAATTCTGTATTTCCAGAGAGTACAATGCTTTAATACATTTAAAGATTTAAAGCTATGGTAATAATAAGTGCATAAAAGAAAAATATAATTTGCTTTAATACAAAAATGTTTAATAAAAAAAGTCTACATTAAATCAGGAAATCAATAAATCTGAATAAACAAGCTTTCTACATAGTTAGAAAAACAAAAACAACATTTATATTAAAACTTTTAATTCAACATAGAGTCTAACTTAAAGAAAATGTCAATATGCTCAGTTAATTAGATACGGTTTTGCCATTTAAATTAAATAATTCACCTGAAATATGGGAAATGTGTAATAGAGAAAAGTAAACCTCAAAGTTAATTTACAAATCATCTGGTTAATGTGCATCATGAATCAAATCTTAGCTTCCAAGGGCAGGTACAGTCTTTCACTGCTTTTAGATAGGCACTTGAGAGATGCTTTTGATGAGAGAAATCCCTAGAGATGTGGGTCACTCCATTGACGCCAAGGAAGAATTAGACTCCAAACAAACTTTCCACAGTTTCCCTCCCCGTGCCAAAAAAATCATACCCATTTCCAACTTCTTTCTGATAATAAGGAAACTGAAACTGAAATGCTCCATTCTTACACAATCAAAAAGTAAACTTGGGTAATGCAGCTCCTTTACACTAATCTCAAGCTCTCAGTCCATCCGAATTAATGATATTTTTGGTACTAGAAGAGCTACCATACTTGAACTAGAGAATGTTGCAATTTCTTCATATCTTACATATTCACTATCACACTAGCAAAGCAGTTGTTTTAAAAGAGAAAAAAAATTTACATAAAACAGTCATTTTAAATGTGTCCAATAGCCAGGGACCTCTACTAATTAAAATTCCTCTTAAACAAGGGATGAGCTAGAGCAAGAAAATCTCCTAAAACCCCAGCAAAAGTTAAAGATTTTTTTAAAAATTAAAAGCAGTTAGGGTTAGGAGAATCAGTCCAATTGAGATAACCCCAGAGTTTTCATAGATCCTTCTAAACATGTAGCCATGTGATCCACAATAGGAAAATGAAGGTAAGCCAGTAGAGGAACACAAAGTAAGGACTCAACAAATACTGAAAAAATCAAAAGGAAGGGTACCCTGCGGTCTCACTGATACACTATTGCATTACCTAGTGCAACATTTATACAAGCTCCTGTAGCTCTGCACCATGCTCCTAGGTAATCCTCCCCCTAGGAAGACACTGCTACAAATAAACCATCATTAAAGGTTTTGATCACAGACCAATTGTAATTCTATAAATTAACTTTGAGATATAAATTAGATCATTCTTCAATAAAGTATAATTCCTCAACTAGAACTTATGAAGTCCAAATCTTGGAAAATTGTTTTAGAATTAAAATGTTGAGCAAGCAAAGATTATTTTTTAGGAAATACCCAAAGACTTTGATGCTGACATCATGCCCCCATCTCCTAATCACACCCTCGGGGATGCATGGACTTCCTTCGGTACCAACCACAGTGATCAACCACATGACAGCACTGCCTGGACAAGGAGACCTATTGAAGACCTGTCACATCTGGACACAGCATTCCCACAGGAGAGCACAATTCCACCCGGCTGGGAACATCAACTCTGTCCTGGATCTTTGGTACATTTGGAGCAGAAGAAAATAATGGCACAATAAGACAAGTACTATCAAAGGAAGATTTTTCACCCAAAGAAAGAAAAACTAACTGGGCATGATATGTAGCAACTTTCTAGAAAACCAAAGTACATAGAGTTCTTTGTTCTTACAAGTTCATTTACATGATCAGAAGTTTGACATTTAAAAAAATAGCTTAATAAAAATACACTAGGTTCTAAAAGCAGCCTTTATGGCCATTTCTCAAATTCAACTCACCATAATTGAATTAAAATAATGCCATGTCTTGTTAAAAAAAAACCAAAGTCCTCTTTTCACAAACAAAGCAATTTTACAGTTTACATAATACAGTACATCTCCCTATGACTACACAGACTATGTATATCATTAGTATTTATGAATGCAAAATAAAATGCCTTAATGGAAAGTTTTCACTCCCTACTGTGCCATTTGTGTAGTAACTTGATGATAAATTCTATTTTTAAAGAACCAGTGTACTTCTTTTTGAATTTCTTAAAAGCATTACAGAAATTGTCTTCATATATTTTCTACAGTTGTCCAAACCAATAGGCAAAGGTTCTAACACCAGCTGTGGAAGATGGCTTTTACTGATGTATCTAGACCCATAAGACTTGCAGGGAAATAGCAGTGCTGCAGTGCTGCCTACAGCGGGCCTATGCTGCCAGCTGTGCCTCTCCTGAACCAATCAGAGGAGTCCCAGTCCAAAGCCAGAGCACACACAGGCAGGATGGACCTCAATATGCAGGCAGGCAGTGCAGTCAGACAGGGATGTACATTTCTTTATTCTAGTACCTTTATATAATAAAGTTAACAAAAAATAATAAAAATATTACAAAAAAAAAAGCCAGCTGGCACTGCCAACCTCTTCCTGTAGTAGTCTGAGAAACCCTAGTCCTGTAGAATTTCCTCTGTCGTCACTGAGCACCACTGTCCTCGGGAGACTTCAGGGTCTGGAGATCTGTGCTGAGCAGGCCTGGGGTGCAGCTACCTGAGTGCTCATGGTTGTGGGCGCAGTGGATCTCAATCACAATTTCCCTGCCTTCATGTAGGTGGGGATAGAGCCACGCTGAGTCAACCCTTCAAACCTCTTGTAGGTGTAGTTGAGGAAAACCCAGTCTTTGGATTTGTAGTCTGGTTCTGTGGTATTTGGCACTAGAAAGTGAGAGAAATTAACCAAGAGCAAAATAATCTCATTAGTGTAATGACATCATTCTCGCACACTTTGAACAGCATGGGTCACATTACATAACCATCTTACCTGGCTGTAAGATATCAGACTCAGGGAAGTCATCAAAATTTGAAGTATCATCAATGCTTTTGATTTCTATAGGGATTGCTGCTGGCCTTTCCCTATAAACAAAGTATTGGGCAACCACGGTGAACTTGATTTCTCAGCACATCTTGCACATTTTTCATGTTAGTTTAGAGATATCAAAAAGGCCAAGGACATTAATTATGAATTTTAAAGTAGTTAAGTGGATTTCAAAATAGGTGTAATTTCTTACTGAAATGTTTTCGTTTACTTGAATTTTTCATATTTTTGTGCCAAGACTTTCTCACTACTTTTTAAGAGGAAAAATATAAACTAATGAAAAGTAAAACAGAAGAGATTTTGTTTAATGACTATATAAAATATAAGGGATACTGCAAGGACTGGGTCCTGTCCTTAGGACTAAGTGATTTAGGCACAGAACTGTTCCAGTAGAAGATGTATAAATCCAGCACCATTTGGGAAAATGAGGGTATAAAAGGTGAAATTTAAATGCAGAAGCCTCTAAAAACGCCTGCTATGTTAACAACAGTAAACTATAGAAATAGTTAAAAGAAGCTGCCAGTTTTTCTTTTCAATGAATATTGAGGGGATCCACTAAGTTTATTAAATTATGTAAAAGAATGTACTGCACATATTTTTACCAGTATTCCAACTTTTTTACACTTAATGTATTAATGTAATAAATGTAGTGAAAAGAACCAAAGACTTTGGATCTCTCACCGAAAAGGTTCTGGGTTCAATCACTAGTACTGCAAAAAGAAAAAAACGTAAGGAGGGGACCATACTTCTCTTCAATGAGATGATGTACATATAGCAGCAGTTAAGAGTTAGGGTTCCAAGGCTTGGTTGGGGATGTACCTCAGTGTTATGGCATGCGCAAGGTCCGGAGTCAATTTCCACCACAAAATACACACTAAAAAAGGTTCAGGACTCCGGACTCATACTGCCTGGGTCTAATACCAGCTCTTTCATTTACTTAGCTGTGGCCCTGTAGGCAAATTACAGTGGTACCACAGTTCATGAACTTGCTTCTTCCTACAATTTTGGTTGCAAACTGAGATGGACAAGAACTGCGTCAAATTCAGTGATTAGGTTCAATGTTCACCTCATGGGGAAATTTTATTTGGTTCTTGTCCAGTTCAATTTATAACCAGAACTGTGGAGAGAATTGAGTTCATGAACTGAGGCACCATTGTACTTCTCTATGCCTTAAGTTTTCTCACCTATAAAACAGTTCCTAGCTCACAGCGTTTATCGTGATGATAAGTGGAAGAATGCAAGGTGAGTACTTATAAAATGGCTGGACATACAGCCAATGATCAAAATATCAAAGCTCTTATAACAGGTGGGATCACACAGCGAGATCTACAGGAAGGTCTGCACTGAGGAAGTGACACGAGCTATTCAGAAGGAGCACCAAGGCAGGGCAGGGGCAGAGGCAAGAACCAGCCAGTGGAGAGAGGAACACCTAGCTGGAATGAATAACAAACCAAAGAACTCTGAGACATGATGTGTGCAGGCGCAGCAAGATTCCCTGCTTGCCCGTCAAGGGCTCTTAGCTCGTTCTAGGTGCAAAGGGAAGGAGAGAACAAGGCGCCGTCAGACTCATGTTTCCCAAGTGCTGTGTGAGAACACTGGACTATGTAGGCAATGTGGCCACAAACTAAAAATGATAAGCAGTTCTTAAGTGCTACTTTATTATTAGCCCAAGATGAGTCACTCTGCTGTAACCAGCAGTCTCAAAACACTGCCTTCACAGTGCAGTCAGTAGTGTTACCTCCCGTGTGTGAGCTAGCAGACTCACAGGTAAAGTAAATGCTAACGCTGGACACTCCTTTTCCTCAGCCTCTCCATTCCAATCCTAACAACATACCTTATGTGCCCCCAGTCTACACCTTCAAAAAAGGGATGGCCTTTTATTTCTTCCACTCCACTATTCCCAATTCTGTTTTCAGAATCAATACAAAATCTGCACAAGGAAAGGAAACAGAAATTACCATACGCAAGTCAGATCCATCCAGAGATACTCTAGTTTCTCTTCAGATCGTATAAATCTTTCGCCTTTTACATCCGTGCAGAGTACTCTAATCACATCATTTCAAATGCTTTAGTTTTTCAAAGCATTACAATTTTTTATCTGTTTATGAACTGTGCTCACTGTGGAAATCAAAGTCATCTCTAATTATGTTAAGGATAGTTACTGTAAATATTTTGAACCTATCTCCTAATTACTTGACCCTTTCAGGGTTACTTTTCTCACTTAACACAGAAAATTTCTCAGATATTAAATATTTTTTGATAAATTTGTTTTCTACAATTTATATCTGGAGATATTATAATTTATTTAGCAGGTTCACTATTTTTTAAAATATTTCTTAACATTTAGATGCTTTCCAGTTTTTTACAACTAAAATACTACTATAATACACAATAAATCATTATGCATATCTGATTATCTGCACAAGCAAAATTCCTACAGGCAGAATTGCTGGGTCACAGGTCACATCCACTTTAAATAGTTTCTATAACATGCTGCTAATGAACTGTCCCAATTTATATCCCTTTTAGCTGCTCACAACAGCACCAAAACACTACACTCAGTTGGGAAGCAAAGTGCAGCCTCCTGCCCAGGTTTCCATGACACAGTTCCTGCTGTAACAGGTTTATTTTCCCTTCTTCCTTTAATGAGACTGGGTTACCACATTCTAACAAAAGTGACATTTTGCATTTAACTTACATCAGTACCCCAAACAACATCAGGCCTTTTCCCTCTTTTTAACTTCTGTTTTTTCCTGCAAACTTCCTTCTCAGGAATTTACTTTTTTAAAACACCTTTCGTTATTGACTTCTTTGACTATACAGATAAGTACTTTCTTTCTCTCCTCACAAAAATGAAATGGACGAGTTAGGTACTTCCCCCCAGTTTTTTTCCGGTACCAGGAATCGGTTTTTTTCCGGTACCAGGAATCGAACTCACGACCTTGCGCTTCCCAGGCAATCCCCAGCCCCCCAGTTAGGTACTTTTGAAATCGAGATACCCTACCTTGTTCTGGCATTTAATCACTAACCTGAGAATTAAGTCCTTGGCTTTCTCAGAGATGGGTACTTCTGGAGGAAATACTAACGTTTCTTTCCAGTTCATCACTTTTCTATACGTTTCCTGAGGAGTTTCAGAGCAGAAAGGTGGATAGCCTACATATCAGAGAAAATGAAAGCTTTGTTACTGTTTGTTATTGATCAAGTTATACCTCCTAAATATATGTATGCCACAGAAACTAAGCAACCCTGCATGCTCTATTTAACAGTAAAATAATTCTACCATTTATCAATTTACAAAAAAACTGTTAATAAAGCCAATAAAACAAAGCACTGCCCTGCTCCCTGTTAGCCCCAAAGAGACACACAGGTACATGTGCATGGCAAGTCAGGTTCAACACCTCCTTTCCTGCAACGGGACCCCTGGAGAGCTTGCTGGTACGTTAGCAATAGGTTTAAAGTACCTCAGCTATTTCAGCCCATGATGTCTGTAATATGTTAAACAATGGCATTCCTGAGAAGGCGTATTTATTATGTATATAAACAGGACATACCTATTAGCATTTCATACATAATCACTCCCAGGGACCACCAGTCACACAGTTTGTTGTAACCAGTCTGCATGAAGACTTCTGGAGCAATGTAATCTGGTGTCCCAACTGTGGAATATGCCTACAAAGAAGCTGCATGTCAAACCAGTATCTTTAACATTTTTTAAACATGTGAACATCATTTACTACCGGAAAAAACAATATATAAAACAATATATATAAATATATAACAACATATAAAGAGGTTAATTTTTCATGTAATCCTTATTTTGCGTGTTTATCATGTGATAAGTATTGAGTCAGATAATATGTTAAACAATACATGATTTCTGTCCACAAGAAACTCTTCTTAAGTCATTTTTATATGAAGTCCTCTCTGCTCTCTTGGGAAACACTACTGTTGTTATACATGGTACCTGAAGGCCAAGAATCCATGCCCAAGTCTTCACTGGGAATACCCTGGACAGAGAGGTACACAATTCCCTTGCCATAGTTTTAACCAGTATTCAATTTCCCTTTCCTTTACAAGTAGGGAATAGAGCAATTCTTTTCTCAACTGTAAAACTGAAACTAAAGTGACATTTAGAAGGAGAATAAAGTTTTTCTCCTTAGTGCGTAATAAATAAATTCTATAAACACTGAAATGTTTTACAAACAGAAAGTCTGCTACTGCTTGGGCTACGAAGAGAATAAGTAATGCACAGTAATGCACAGTGTGTTTAATTGGTTTTAGAGGGTGTCAGACTATTATTTTTTAGTCTGTTTACTCCCTGAAGGAATGGTGAATTAGTGTCCCTTTTCATCACTTGGCTGAAGTGTCTAAATATTTATAAAATGTCTATCCATGTCAAGCACTGGATACAAAACTAGGAAAACTGAGTCAAGAGGTATGTCTCTAATCTTAAGAATGCTCATGGTCCTAGTTAACAATCTAAAGGGAAAGAAGAAATAGGGGACACAATTTTTATAGCTGCGAATAGACAGGAAATAGCATTGGGTTAAAAACAGTCAGTGTACTTCTACATTAAAGGAGTAACTAAGTTTATCTGTCTGAAATTTTGTATCTATTTTACTATAGCATTGCTGACATCCCAACTTCCTTTTTACTTGGTCTGCGAAGAACTTCTTAGAAACTCACCACTTCACTTATGGTTGGTACTTGTTATAGTGAGATTTATACCACAGGCACAGAAAATGAAGATCATTTCTTATAGCATATTACATAGGTATGCTCAATAAAGTACCCTAAAGTTACACCATAAGTAAAAATTGAGTTTGCTTTATAGGCAAGGTAACCATAAAGAGAAACTAAGAATATGGTATGATCTCAGAAGATGCACCATTACATGTGTGTACAACAAAGACAAGACTTTACATGTGTATAAATTTACACACTGTTACATGTGTGTGAAACAAGGAGCAAGACACTAAATCCTGTCTTAGAAAGTGGCAGACTCACCAGCTGCCTCCTGTTCTTCTTCCACGTTTCTGCTTTCCTCTTTGAGTTCATGTTCTGAAATGCTGATTTCAACAAGACAGAATGGTAACCGTAAGGGAAAAATTTACCCAAGGACAAAATCACACATACCTATCTAAAACACATGAGTAAATTTAGAGAATGGGGAAAGGGTGGGAGAGAATCTTCAGTTCTTAACAGTGCTGAACTAAACAAACTAAATTTTAATTTATTTTATTTTTGTCTTGTTTTGAGACAGGGTCTTGCTGTGCAGTTCAGGTCAGCTGTGAGCTCACTTTGCAGCCCAGGCTGGTCTCAAACTCACAACAATCCTCCTGCCTCAGCCTCCCAAGTGCTGGAATTACAGGCGTGCACCACCATGCCCGGCTACAAATTATATTTTAATAAAGAAAAAAATAGCAAACCTACAGAAGTCACTTGGTGGGTTGTGAGTGAGGTTTCTGTAGAATTCAGTTCTGTGAGCTTTCTTTAATCCCGTGCATAAACCAAAATCAGATAATTTTACATGTCCCTAAAAAAAAAATTACAGTAAAATCAGATTATTTATATATAATACATATTGTGAAATAGAAAGAATGGTTCAAATGGGAAGGAGAACTAGAGTCTCAGAGAGGAGAAAAAAGGAAGGGAAATGAGAAAAGAAGGTTAAAAATTCTTAGCTTGGAATACATAGAGGTAAAAATGTAAAATTTTAAGTATTTTAGGGGTGAAGGCTTCGAAAAATAAAAACTGCAGGGTGATAAACACAGCCACGTCCCCATGTCATTCTATTCCAGTGTCCTCTCCCACTATACCATTCCATGAAATACTGTAGTTCAGCAATAAATAATGTGAACTGCAATTATCCATTTTCAATCATAAAATCAGTTCTATTACTCTATTAAAAGAAAAAAACAACAACTGACAATTCACTAGTTTCACATGCCTTGGCATCCAATAAAAGGTTGTCTGGTTTAATATCTCGATGGATGAAACCCAACTGGTGGATTGCATCTATGGCCAGAATAGTCTCTGAAATGTAGAACTGTGTTTCCTCTTCTGTCAAGGTATCCTTCTTCATTAACAAGGTCATCATGTCACCTATGTAAAGGAAGCATCATGTTACTGAAAGTGCTCCAAGGCAGAAGAGTTTGTGCAAACCTTCATTGTGTTTGTGTAACAAATGTTTGATTTGGCATGTTATGATCCACCCAATATATCTCTAACTATCTCTGGGGCCAAATAAATATAAGTGTCACTGCATAAGCAGAAGTTTCATGACATGTGATAGCTTTAGGGTAAAAATAAGATGGAAAGACATATACCAAACTAAATCTATCCATCACTGCTCAACTAAGAGACAAAATGTAAACTTACAGATTTTGGTGTATTTTTAAAAATCAAATAAATGGCATCAAACTGTGTGATTCTGCAGTGTGCTTCATTTCATTCCATTCTGTCTGATTTTATATATATATATATATATATATATATATATATATATATAGAGAGAGAGAGAGAGAGAGAGAGAGAGAGAAAGTCTCAAGATATATATACACACGTGTGTGTGTGTGTGTATGAGAACATATGATGATGCTGAGTGTTGGTTAGGTGGTGGGGGATGCTGCGTGCGCTCTCGCGCTCTCTCTCTGCGCGCAGCATCCCCCACCACCTAATCAACACTCAACATCATCACATAGTCTCGTGTGTATATATATATCTTATGACTTTTAACTGCTGCGAAATATTTTGTACTGATGGGTAATGGTCTATATCCACTTTTCCACTCTGTCAGTGCTGCAAGGAGCATCCTCTCACAGCCTCTTGTCCCCATGTGGAGTGACTCCAGGGAACACAGCTGGACAGACAGGTGCTGGACCATAGGACATACGCTCTTCAGCCTCATGGGACATCTCTATGGTGAAAGCTAAGGTCTATCTACAAAAGGCCAGTGTCCCCCGCATCACTTAATCAATATTCAACAACCAGATTTCAAGGGGTATGAAAATCTGAGGAGTGTGAAATATCTCAATCTTCCTTTGCTATGCATTTCCCCGAATATCAATGAAGTTGAACACGGTCCATCATTTGCACTTTCTTTTTTGTAGTACTGAAGATTGAATGCAGGGGTGCTCTACCACTGAGCTACATTTCTAGCCCTTTTCATTTTTTATTTTGAGAGATTTCAGTAAGGTGCTCATGCTGGTTTTAATCTTTCAATCCTCCTGTCTCATCCTCCTGAGTAGCTGGGGTTATAGGTATGTTCCACCATGCTTGTTACCCATTAGGTTTTTGCTTTTTCGTTTATTGAATTATTTTTTTTTAACTCCATACACAGTCTAACTGGTTACAGTAAACCTAGAATGCTAGTATCTAACATATGCCATACTAATCACTCCTTTAAGATAATCTGGGCATTATTATGGAAATACACACCAAAAAACTGTCATTATGTAAAACCTCAGAGCTAGGCATATAAAAGTAAACCAAATCAACTGTTATGTTAAGTCAGTCTGTCACTGCTATAATATTTCTTTTACCTCCAGGGAGAAATTCCATGATTAGATAAAGGTTCCTCTTATCCTGAAAACTGTAAAACATCTTCACCACCCAGGCACCATCTGCTTCTACCAAAATATCTCTTTCTGCTCGAATATGTGCCACCTAGATGAATATATTTTGAAAAAAATAATTGTAACACATTACATGTTTTTCAAGCTCATTTCTTACAATCATCCATCTATAACAAGAAAGTTGGGAGTTTCACAAAAGATGTGAAACACAGGCATGTTCATATTCTCAGTAAATATGGAAAACCTCAGGAAATAGTTTACTTTAGCGTATATATGAGGCTTAAAAAGTTGAGATCAACAGGTATACTGCAGTAAGATGAAGCCTTTCAGGTAGGATAATGATCTGTGTGAGGTTGGGGATTACTCTTATTGCCGGGTGCAGTAAATGTTCTGAGAGGAGAGCATAAGATGAAGGAGTAAAACTTGGTTTTCTGGCATAAAAAACTATAACCTTTCTGGATCTGTTTCATTAAGTGAAAAATTCTAAAAATTCTAAAATTATTTCTTATTGCTTTTTGCAACATTTTTTGAGATGGTGAACAACAAACTCTGAACTTTTTGGGTTTACATCAGAAACTTGGCCTGTTTGTTTCTAAATATCTTAAAGACAGACTGGAGGGCATGTTTCCAAAAGGGATCCAAAGGCTGGCAAGGCTGACATACAGTAATATGGTACCACAACACATGCTAGTTAATTCTTGGAGTGTTTAGCATCAGAATACATGTGATAAAATACAGGTGTATTACAACTGAGTGGAGGCCAGGGATACATAGCTCAGTGGTACAGCGCCTACCTGGCAAGCGTGAGATCCTGAGTTTGAGTCCCAGTACCAAAAAAAAAAAAAAAAGCACTAGCAAAATTGAGTGGAAAAAGTTTTCTAAAATGAAATTCAGTGGTGAAAAATGCAGATTAGTTTATGTTGGAGGAAAACTCCAAAATACGAAACTGACAGAAGGCTATGTGCCCCAGAGAGATCATGCCTACACAGAAAGAGCAGGGCTTCAGATGCTGCTCAGCCTCTAGCAAACTATTCTAACTCAAGACCAGGGATGTCCAACACAAACATAATGAAAATTCTGTATGTGATTTTATTCTCAAGTAGCCACATAAAATGCAAAACAAAAACCAGGTGACATTAATTTTAATGATATCATTTATATACTTGAATATATGCAAATATTACTTCAATGTGTAATCAATATAAAAATACTGAGACACTTTATACATTTTTGGGCCTAAGTCCTCATTTGCTGTTTTCTTTGCATTTACAGCACTCCCCAGTTCAGACTGGTTACATTTCAAGAGCCCAGTGGCTCCATGTGCTGGTAGCTAGACAATACCCTACACTAACTGCTGCCTTTTGTTCTTCTTATAAAACCTTATGTAGGCTTGATCTATCGTTGCTAAGTAAGGCTCTACTTACCTCCTTTCCTCTGAGGCTACTATCTTCACCCAGGCCCTTATTGTGATAATTCCTGATTCTCTAATCCAACTCAACAGCTCAGCCTTCCATGCCTTCAGAACCTCTTTGCTCTGGAATCAGACTGTCATCAACAAAGCCCCCTGTAATCTCATCTCTGAATGCTTCCTGACCCCTTCTCCCCAAACTGAAGCCAGAGTAAAAACCACATGCACACAGCACATCTCAAATGGCACTTTCCTAACAAGTCTACTTTCTCCCATTTCAAGATATGCACTTCATACCTCTCTCCTTCAGCCTCCAACAGCCATCCCTCCCTACTCCACACAGGAATGTGGACCTTCCAATGCCTGGTCAACTCCCCTACATTTGTTCCTATTCTCTCTGCATTTCCTTTGTTTTACTAAGTGGGCTCCTGGTCATGTCTTCTAGTATATTGCCATAATTATCTTCCTTCTTTACCTTCTTCTTCTGGTTTTTAGCAGATTCTTCCTGTCACCAGTGAAATAGTTCTTGTCTTTAAAGAAACTCCTTTTGACCCTAATTTTCAATTTACCAATGTATTCTTTCTTCTGCTTCACATGAAAAATTTATCTGTAGCTACTTTCCCTACCTTTTACTTTCTGTTCTCTTTTCCACCATTCCAATTAGCCTCTTCCCGTCCAATCTATTGTAACTCTCTCCTGCCAAGATGTTCAGTCTCTGCTTTGTGAATGGCCTGTCTTCCTACTCAGTCTCAGCAGCACTACAACAGACTACTCACCTCCTTCTTTATAAACACTGTGTCTCCCATGACACATGTTCTTGTTGTTTCCCCATCTGGTAAGATCTGTTTCTGGGTCACCTCTGCCTGGTGTTCCTAGGGATTAGACCAGGCCCTCTTTTCTACCTGCATTTACCTAGTTCCCTAGGTAATTTGATCTTGTCCCATTCCTCTCTCCTGATTCTCCTCTTCTCATTACTCTTGCCCCTCCTCTTACCCTCCAACAGTCTCACAGAGCAAATCCTGCAAACTGTGCCTTCAAATCGTATTTTTTAAAGCTTTTCTTCAACTTTACTGTTGTAACCAAAGTGTAAGCCACAATTACATCCTAGCTGTAAATAGCACACTCTCTCCACTAGTCTCCCTGCTTTAACTCTTGCTTGATCTACAAAGGATTGATTCGTCTTTGTGAAACATGACCAGACATGCCACTACCCTGCTTAAACTGAACAGAATCCCTACAAAGGCGTCCCATGGCACAGAAGATGGCCTTTGAAGCCAGCAGGACCTGGCTACTGCTCACCGGTCCACAGCATCCCTCACGGCTCTTCCTTCACCTAACTCCAGCCACGATGGCCCACTTCTCCTCTTGGAGCAGGCTAAGATTACTCCTTTGTCAAGGCCTCAGGGCTCCTCAGACCTTTGTTCCACAGGATCTCTCTGTCATCCTTTCTCATCATTCAGTGTGTTATCAAACATTCCCTCCTCAGAGGAACCTGCCCTGATCTAACTGTTCCTCCAAAACCCAGATCATATGCATCATTTCACCATTTTAAAAAATTTTCTGCAAGTACTTATCCATCACAACAATTTCAATAGCTATCTGTCTATTTCTCCACTATTTCAAAAGAGCAAGGATCAGATTTGTCTTGTTAACTACTGTGTTCCCAGGATCTATATCAATACTTGGTATACTGTAAGCACTAAAAATATTAATGTCAAATAAAACAAAAGTAAAATAATGCAGTGAAAACCCACATGCGTCATAGTAAATAAAAATCAGTATCGGACGCTGCAATGACAAAGTGTAAGGAACAGAGAGCTCCCCTCTTTCTCTACACCCTCATCACTGAACCAGTCACCAGAAGTTTCCATTCAGAGTCCTACAGAGTGGCGCCCCAGACTGGAACACAGGTAAAGACGTGACATGTGACTGCTGACATTTTCAGAAATGATGACCACCCACAACACTACATCAAGTCGCGGAAACTAGACAGCCTGCGAGTATAAGGGAGTAGTGAGCAGTCACTGCTGCTCCGGAAATACGCAAAATCACTACATTCTCAGGAGACTAGTTTTGCTTATTTGGTATGTGATAAGGTTGAGGGTGCTCAGAACTGCTCTTTAATTTTACTTAAGTCAGAAAAAAAGGTACTGAAGGAAGTATTTTTTTATGAACTGAACGAGTCTCCTCAAAATACATGTGGTACAGTGCGGCTGTGACTGCACCTGGAGATGGGGCCTCTGAGAAAATAATGCAGGTTAAGAGGTGCTAAGGGTGCCATTAGTGTCCTCTGAAGTGTGAACATGGTGGTCTCTCCCCGTTCTCACCAAGGAGAAGCCACCTGCAGATCAGGGGAAGCTTCACCAGAAGCCAAGCTCCACCATAGCACTGCTCTGGAATTTCAGTCCTCAGAACCATGAGAAAAGTTTCTGTCTCTCGAGCCGCCCAACCATGAAATTCCATCAGGGCAGACTGAGCAAACTAACACACGGATTATGAATTTTGAGAAATTTCAAATATAAGAAATGAAAAACACTAAAATAGGCTACTGAAATTATTAGACTATATAGTAAGATAGATTTCTTATTTATTTGTTTGTTTTTTTGGTTTTTGGCTTTTCTCTGGTACCAGGAACTGAACTCACGACCTTGCACTTGCCAGGCAGGCACTTTGCCGCTGAGCTAAATCCCCAGCCCCTAGATTTCTTATTTAAAAATTTCAGTATATGCACTTATTCTAAAACCCAGTCACTGATGTTCTTTTTTACTGCATATGTAGAAGATTCATACCTGTTCTTTTTCAAGCATATCAGCCTTTCTCAATATCTTCATTGCATAGATATGACCCGTGTCTTTCTTCTGGACCAGCCTCACCTAGGATAAAAAAAAATGTATCTTGTAAATGTTACACAGTTTAGGCTCGACACTATGCAGTCAAGAGTGAACAGCAGGTTGCTTTAAAGAGAGCCAGAATTTACTTTTGGGATTATCTCAGGAAATGTTTTTTAATACATATTTTAAACTATCTCAAGATATATGTTCACTCACAGTCAACTGAAAAGAAGCTCACCTCTCCAAAAGCTCCTCTTCCTATAACTTTCAGAGATTCAAAGTCGTCCAAGCCAAGCCTAGTCCTCTTGAGCCGTAAGAACTCTGTTTCTTTGCGAGCATGCTGTGATCGGCGTAACTTTTTCTGTTTAAAGACAATTTAAAAGGATGATCTTATAGTCAGATAGTTTCAAAGGCACTTAAGATTATTATAGATACACATAAAAACAGGGGTATCCATTATACCAGTGCTATCATTTCTTTATGAAAGTAAGTATTAAGCACAGAAAGAACAATCCTAAGAAAACATTTTTAGCAGTTAATAAATCTTTCCTCTTGAAGTGGACTCCAATATTCCAACCTAACTAATTCATCATATATATACAGATACATATAAAACTCACTTTCATTTATATGCTAACTTAATTCACAATAAATGAATTAGTTCTTCATATATATATATATATATATATATATATATATATAAAACATTAATTCCTTCATCTCTATGCTGACTTAATTCATATACAGAAATTAAACTCTCAAAAATGCTAGTAGTATCCTGACACTGATCTTCACTCTGTCAGGAAATCTTCTTTGCTTCAACCCTAATTTCCAAGGTTGCTCTGTTACAACCTGAGACTTGTGACACCAAAAATCACACAATGGCAGTGTTTCCATAGAGACGTGTTTATGGTAGCATTTATGAGTAACTCTTAAGGTAGACTTTATTCTTATATAAATTTTAATAAACTACTAAATACTTGGCATACAGCTTCTTGAAAAGACACAGCATAAAAAAATTCGTAATTAAAATATCCAAGTCAGTAACTGCACAACTAATCCTATGAAGATCACAAAAAAAATAACTACTACTAATGAGCCACATCCCGAAATATCTGAAGATTTCACTTGGCACATGCATTTATTTCTTTATTCTAAACCTCATTTTTCCCTCTCATCAACTATTTGTTTTTGTTGTCTTTTTGTTTTTTCTCCCTGTGCTAGGGATCAAACCTAAGACCCCGCACATGCTAGGCAAGCTCTCTACCACTGAGATACAGGCCTAGCCCTTCTTATTTTTTATTTTTGGATAAGGTCACACTAAATTGCCCAGGCTGGCCTTGAACTTGTGATCCTTCTGTCTTTGCCTCCCAAGTAACTGCGATCGCAGGCATGTAATACTACATGAGCCTTCTAGTTTTCCATATACTTAATTCCTAGAGATAACAGAGGTAACTAGTGGAAGCACAGTGGGAAATACACAAATTAAACTATTACTCATCTTCAGCTAAACCTTATAAAGCTTTCAGTGGTTCGACTCAGAAGGCAAGACAAGTCAAAAGGACTCTAACAGCTCAAAAATACTGCTCCTGAAGCCAGCTCTAGGTACAACCATTGAACCGTCCTTACTACTTCTCTATTTTTAAAGTTAGATTATTAATTAGAAATATGTGCATGTGTATCATCAATACAATGTAATTCTGATACCTCTAGAAGTTAATCTGAGAGGATGAAGATTTTTTTTTTCTCTTTTTGAGACAGGGTCTTGCTATGCAGTTCACACTGGCCTTGAGCTCTCTTTGTAGCCCAGGCTGGCCTCGAACTCGCAACAATCCTCCTGTCTCAGCCTCCCAAGTGGTACAGTGCGCCACCACACCCAGCTAATCTGAGAGGATGACATCAAGAAATTATGTCTTGAAATCATAATGGAAGTTACACACCAGGCATATCAATAGTAGAAATTATGACAGTGTAAAAATAAAGGTGAGGTGTACAAATTTAAAACTTTTGCCTAATGTCCTTCTTTAACCTGATATTGATTACAAACAGTGATATTAGGGAAATTATATACAATAATGAAGATTTTTTTTTTTTTGTAAGAAGTCAGGCAATAAGGGAAACTCGCTAAAATAAAGATGTAATAATTATTGTTCTGTTTACCAAAAGCTATAGTAATCTAGTGGCTATGTACCAGTTTAAAAACAGATTGCCCTAATGATGGGATTAGGGTGGTTTCAATCTTTTAATATTAGTTTAACACAGCTATAATTACATTTATATAATTACAAAAACAAAGATTCTAACTGTGAGGACTATTTTTTGGCTTCTTTGTACAATGGAATAGCAGCATCCTTTCTGCACAGCATCCTTTCTGCACAACAGTATCTTCAGTAATTTAAAAAGTCTGAAATAATAGTAAAATAAGTCTATGAAAAGTTCATTTTAAATTTTAAGACTTATTTTAAAGGCCACTGGGTGGCACTGCAGTATCACGTCCTTTAAAGTAGTAAAGAGATGTTTACATGTTTTTAAAATAAATGTGAGAAATTTGAAAAGCTGTTGTGAATCTCTCCTTTCATGGGTTCTAAAACAGTACAGCTGGATGCAGCTGCAGAAACTTTCTACTCTGAATAACAAAGATCACCTCATTACACAGAATTATGAAAAAGGGCCTAAAATTTACAGACGAGTCATAACCCCGCCCCCCAAAAAAGTTCATTAAGTATCTCACAGGCTACATAATACCACAGGAAGAAATGCCCACACAGTTCTGGACACTGTCATTTAATAACAGGGCATCACAGAGAATGGGACACAATTTTATAGTGGAAATTACTGTAACATTATTATATTACTTCAAAAAAATCTATTCCATGACTAAGGCCAGTGTTGTAATCTAGAGCGGCTGAAAGCAAGTTGAAAGAAAATCCATGATTGATATTATGAGCACATTGATATATCTGCTCATAACCTGTACAGTTTAAGTAGTCTTGAGAGGCAATTAGCATCTTTCTTCTCCAAGGACACGACAAAATCTATGGACATGTTTTTTTTTTTTTTTTTTGGCCTATGCTGGGGGACTGAGCCCAGGGCCCTGTCTGTGTTACACAAGCATCCTACCACTGAGCCCCACCTCCATTCCTTCATGGCCATTTTTTGTAGCTTGATTTGCCTCTTTTAGTTTTCCATTAAAGTAATAGTCCATGTTTGATGAGATTTTATTGAGAAGAAAGTAGATATTTCCTTCCTTTTTCCACTCTTTTTAAATGGGCATCCCTCAAACTCTCAGTATGCAGGGTGCCCAGTTTTACGTAAGATAGTGCATATTAAAGTTGTGATATGAAAGGGTTCAGCTAATAACTTCATTTTGGAATATATGCTTCACATGGACACAGTGTATGATTTAAAGCTTTCACAATTCATTTTCATAAATTATCTCCAAATCATTTTCTATTACAGAATGAATGCTAGTTTCATTAAATAATTATACTAAAAAAAACCCCACATAAGACTGTTCCAACATACTGTATAAACTTGACAGTGTGTGACTAATGTATAGAATAACATAATCCAGGATCCAGCAAGGTCCCTAATAATAAGCATTTGTATAATTAAAGGTATTTTTAAAGGAACAATTTGCAAGTTTTATAAATAGGTATTATTGAGACTTTTTAGGGGCAAAAATCTTCTCACATTATCTACAAGTTTTTTAGAAGAATTAAAGAAAATAGCTTTACTTGCACTTAGTAATTGCTAATGCAAACCAGGGAATGAAAACAGGAAGCTACAAATTATATGCAACCTACAGATATATTTGATTTGGACTGCAATGGTTTTTAAAACATTCCAATTACTTGCCAATATTTTAAAAAGCATGTGTTCACATAAAGGCCCAAATTTCCAGCTCTTTTTTTTTTCTTCTTCTTCTGTGGTATCAGAGATTGAACCCAGGGCCTTCACCCTGAGCTATAACCCTGCACCCTTTTTAAACAGGGTCTCGATAAACTGCTACACTGCTCAGGCTAGGCTGGAACTTGTGATCCTCCTGCTTCAGCCTCCCACAGTCCTGGGATTATAGCTGTGCACCACTCTGCCCAGCCAGCTCCTCTAGGACCTTAGCACACTAGGCTGCAGTAGCCATCACCTTCAGCTTCCACCAAGAATTCTAGTTACCAGGTGACAGATCTAATTGGGTCAGACTCCTGTTTTCTTACAGTAAAGTGAAAAATGGTAGGTCTTTATTAAGACATAAACTGAGAGGATGACATATTTTAGAAAAAGAAGGTAAAAGAAGAGTATTTTGTGGTGGAAGTAAAAATCAAACATTACAAGTTGGCTATACAAACAAAATATATTTTAATCAAAAGAAGAGAACCTAAAATGCCATCACAAAACCAGCCTAACCACATCTCCCCTGATACTAAGGCTACGCTGGTATCTGCTTTGTAACATTCCAAAGCCCAATTAAAGTCTTATGTTTAAGGTTTCTATATCAATACAACTATAATTATGCAGTTACTAGTCATAACCATTACCTTTCTCACTAAAATTTACAAGGCATAAACAAAATGAGCTTTTAAAATACTGCACTGATTCCTATGTTAATTGTAAAAAATGTTAATTGTAAAAATCTAAATGTTAAAGTTTGAGTTTCTAGATTGAGTCAGGTGATTAACAAAGTAACTACTCTAGGTAAACCAAACAATATTTTTATATCTGATATGAACAGTGCAACTACAAAGACAGTACAGACCTAGGAAAAGTAAAGGGAAGACAAGAAAACAATCTTGATTTCAAATCATTTGGTGGTCTACTCTTTAAAGAAACTCCCTGCTGATCACGGGAAACTTAATTAATGTAGGTTGTGATTTCCAATACCTAAAAAGTAAACAACTTTCTTAGGAAGCTGTTCTAAATCTACCTTTTCATTGGTACTGTTAAATTACCTTGTATTTGCTTTACTGTCCCCTCTATAGCTCAATGCAATTTTTTTTAAATATATTTTTTGTGGTGCTGGGGTCAAACCCAGTGCCTTGTGCATGCAAGGCAAGCACTCTACCAGTGAGCCACATCCCCAGTCCCTCAAATGCAATTAGTCATTATTATTGTGCATGTATATATTCATTACTTCATATATACCTTTTTCTCCTGGTAACTAGGAATTGAACACAGGGCCTCACACATGCTAGATAAGTACTCTACAATAGAGCTATAACCTCAGCCCTTTTTAAAATTTTACTTTGCCATAGACTCTCACTAAATTGCCTTGGCTGGCCTTGAACTTGTGATCTTCCTACCTTAGCTTCCTAGGTAGCTGGGATTACAGGCATGCATCACCAGGCCTGGCTCTTCAATATGGCTGTTTTGTTTTGTTTCTGTAGTATTAGGGGTTGAACCCAGGTCCTTCACACTGATTCTGAGATAGGGTCTTGCTGAGTTGTTGGCTTGGCCAAGCTAGGCTCAAATTTGTGATCTTCCTGCCTCAGCCTCCCAGAGTGCTAGGATTACAGGCACACTCCATCATGCCCAGCTAAAAATCCTTTGATTTTTTTTTTTTTTAAGGTGCTGGGGATGGAACCCAGAGCCATACACATGAAGCACTCTACCACAGAGCTACATCCCCATCCCACTTACTTTCATATAATAATTACAGGTAATTACATTACCTCTTCATCTGCTAATCCTTCTTCTTCCATAGCCACTTCTAATTTCTTCTGCCTTTTCAATGGAAAAAATAATTAGAATTTTAAGTATGTATGTTCCTAACTATTCCCATTTCAGAAATATACATTTTTTAATTCAACTTAACCAGGGCCTCATTAATGCTAGGCAAGTGTGCTGCCACTGAGCTATATCCCTAGTTCAAAGCTCTACTTCTACATTACTTCACTTGCCTGCCTAGATGATTTAATGTTACTATATTTCTCAATGTCTATAACGAAAGTATGAAAAATAATGATGCTAAAAGTATACATTCGCAAAGCAGCTATCCCTGCTTGAAACCTGGTCCTAATGCTCACTAGCCAAAAGAGCTTTTATTAGTCTGTCACCTTGAGCTCAATTTTCTTGATTAAGGAACGATGTTCAATGCAACTGAGTAATTCTTTGGGAACTGGAAAGTCATACACGTATATAAAAAAGCCACTCAGAACATTTGCTTTTCTAGATATAACCACGTATTCATTATTTTAAGTGGTACCCTTGAAGTTAGTCAAGCTAAACATTTGGAGGCATGCGCGCGTGCATGTGTGCAAATTAACTAGTAACTAGAGAGAGATAGCTGTTAAATACTTTCCAAGTAAACAGTGTTTCATTTCTATTGTACTGTTTTTTCCTAAATTTAAGTCCAGGAGAAGTTTTCATATTACATTTTAGAGCATGCTAGGGTAAGACTAACACTCCTCAATTTCCCAAATGAATATAAGGTTTGAGGACCAAAACTATGACATATATATTTTGGTATTTGCTAGTTGTGATCTTTCCTAAACCATTCTTAAACTCTGTTATTTTTCTTTCCTGTAAAAAATTCCTAACAAAAGTATCTGAAGCCTGTTGTGAAAAAGCAGCCCAACCTAATCTTTCACAGCACAGGTCATTGGTACCCACACTCAACACATTGATGTCCACCTTGTGTTTAGCATTACTTTCCCAGTCTCCAATCCTCAGAATGGAATAGGCCCCCAACACCCTCATCGGAGTGATTTTCAGTCTCCTCTGCATGACAAGCCCCAAGAGCACAAGGATCATTACTCTGCAAGGGACTCTCAATCTACAAACACCTTTATTCTTTGTCAAATCTCCACTGCCCACCTCCCTTGATGCCTCCCAAACTAATACTTCATGACACTATGCTCATTCTGGGGAGAAATAACAGTAAGTTTTATCCATTTCTACCATATCTGAACAGGAACATTCATGAATTTTCTTGCACATCTTTTAAAAACTATTTTCTCTCTAAATGGTCTTACACTTTGCTCTGATTAGTGCTTTATTAGGCTTATGCATTTATCCTATTAGTTAAGACTCAAAAGTGTGTCATATGCTTTCTTCAAAGTATGCACTGTTAGAAAACACGAGCTGGTCAGACTACTCTCAGTACCAGGCTGACTTTTTAAAAATAAGAGCAGATATTTTTATTCTTACTTTCCTTTGGGAATAAAGGGCAAAACTGAATCATTTGAAAGTCTCAGGGAAAAAAAACAAAACAAAAGCCCAAAAAACTCTAGAATTCTGAGTCCACATGCCAGCTTTGAAAAAACACAGCACTTTCTTTCCTTGGTTCTCTCCTACTTTATGCTTCTATGATGACCCAATTGCTTCCAAAGATGTTAATTATATTTATGGATACGTATGGTTCTATTTCCAAATTATTTATTCAGTTTTTCAGTTTTGGTAATTTAGCCTTTCTTTTCTCCTCTGTTCTGAACTGATTTTTCCCCCTCACGCCATTCGTTCCTCTTCTCCTTATTTGCAAGTTACAAGGTATGTAATTTTATTCTTTCAGTGGTACCCTAGGAAGTAAAATTGTATCCTCATTTGCCAAAGCTCAAAGTTGATCTTTATTCCCTTTCTTTTCCTTCTTTCTCTTTTTCTTTTGTGAAGGTGGTATGGAGATTGAACCCAAGACTTTACACAGGTTACACGAGCACTCTAGCACTGAGCTATATACCCAATCCTGTTTATTCCACTTTTACAAGGATCCTTAACAACATTTTAATTCCAATTACTTCTCTCTTAGCTTTGAGTCTACTGCTGGAAAGGGTTTTAATTTTAAGGTACATGCTCATAGCTCAGCAACAAAGTACACTACTGCGTGTCAGCAGTCTTCCCTTGTGATGGGCTGGCTGACTGGGAGCTGCGGTCACTGCCACTGCCCAGGATCACCAGTGTCATACCACCTATCACCAGGCTGGAAAAGGATCAAACTTCCCAAATTTTAGTTTCTACTAGGTACCTATCACCTTTGCATGATCATAGAATTGAAAAATTTTAAGCTGAACCATCATAGGTCAGGGAGCATCTGTACAATTTTTGAGATATTTCCATGTATTTATCAATTAGATTTCTTCTTTGTTATCACCTTCCTTCTGCCTAAATTGAACTTTTTAAAACTTCTGCTGAGGCTAAACTCCTATTTTTTGGTTGCCTATGCCCCATTCTTGTCCCTCGCTTCCTTTAGGAAGTGTATTTATTTGTTTACTGTGGTTCTGGGAACTGAACTCAGAGTGTATAAGAGTACATAGCAGGTGAGTACTCTCCCACTTTGGGAACTCTAATTATAGTGATATGTGCGCTCTTCTCACTGTTCTCCATGTTTCTTAACTCCAATTATTCCCACTGTCTCTCTGAACTGGTTTTTAAGTTTTATTTTCTAGTTTACTAATTCTCTCCTCAGCTATAGTTAAGTTTGTCCAAAACTGTTTCTTTTATAGTCTTGTTTCACTAAATTCAATCACTCTCAGTTTGCCAAGGTATGACACTTCAGGGTCAGTATAGGTTTATTTCTCTCATATTTTGTATCTGGCTAGTTGCCACATTTGCCAATCTTACTCACTTGTCAGTTCTTCTCTACTGCTGTCATCAATCCTAATTTAAGTCTCTTTCCACTTGCCTGGATACACTAGCCCTTCCTGTTCCTAATGCCCCACATCTCCCAATCCCTTTTATGTATCACAATGAAAGTTCTCTTCCAGAGAAAGACTTATGATCATCTAATTCTCCTGCTTTACAAACCTCCAAGGTCTTCTAATACCGTTACAACAGTTACATTAACATAGCATCCAGGGCTCCCATGATACTGAAATTTAGCACACCTTGTGCCATAGCTAAACTGGACAGTGCCTGATCTGATGGTGATTTCTTCTCTAATATCCTTCCTCTCACTCTTTGATCGTTCTCCTTCCCTTTATGCTGTGTCAATAGTACTCTTCCTTTAGAGCCTGTTTAAATGCCACTATTATTTAAGAAGTATTCCCAGTTACTTTAGTCAAAAGCAATCTCCCCCTTCTGTATCCTTATTTTAGTGATACTCTTCACTCTTTCATATAATATTTAGGTGCATTACCTCCTTTATCATATTTTAAGTTTCACGAAGGAAAAATAACATGCTATTCTTTTTTTTTTTTTTTTACTCTTCCATTTCCAGTGCTATATATACTATGCTATGCCTGGAATAAAGGCAGCTGTCTGTAAAGCATCCTCCTAAAAAATGTATAAAGATATACTATAATTACATAGCTGAAAAAGGTTTACAACCGCAACTGATGTGATAAAAGTATGTGTTCACACAAGACTTTGGGTACCACAAGAAATTATTCTGTCAAATAAAATAACTAGGAGCATGGTTAAGAGCAGGAAACTTAAAGCAGCATGCAGGGATCACTGATAAACACATTATTAATGGAAAACACATTTACAGTCCACTCACTGCATACTACTTTAACAAAAGCTTCATCAGCCTTTCCTGTACCTGGTTTCTCTCTCTTCATGCTGTAAAATTAGGTTGCTATAAAAATTCTCCAATGTGAGCTTGGCCACAGTCACTCTTTCTCGGGTATGGTTGCTCATAGGAAAGGTTGCTGTAGTCCCTGCTGTCATGGCCATAGTAACAGAAACTGAAACAACATATTAAAAACAAATTATTCAATAGAAAAAAAATTATCCCTTATTAAAAAAATCTGCAAATGTTTACTTTCTACTAAGAAAAATTCTATCCAACAGTTAACACATTATAATACAAAGCTAATAAACAGAAAACATGCATTATTCCCAAAGCAAGAGAAATTAATTTTGTAGCAGCAAAACCAGATGTGAATTCTACTAAAGAATTACCAGGGATAGTCCACGTGTATAGAGACACACAAACACAAAAGTTCATATTCAACAGCATTCAAAACAAAGGATGTTTAATCCATTTATTGATTTATTGGTTACTAAATGAAAATTAGAAGATGTTGCTAATACTTACAGTTATTTCCATGATAAATGTATCCTAATGGTTACATTAGTTTATATAGTATTAAGTAGCTTCTGCCATATACATTTTATGAAATATGAATTGCGCATTGAATATGTAATCAAGCATCAATCTAAAGCAATCAGTATTGGTAGATGCTATAGGAGAAACGAGTGTTAGAAGTCAGCCCTTTTTCACAGGGTCATAACTTCCCTCTTCATTCTGAATGAAATTTGTAGTGTTGTTATTCCAAACAGCACTACAAAAGGTAAAAAATCTAAAGACACTGACTTCTTGCAATCAGTGTAATAACAACTGGAGGGGGTAAAAGAGAGGCTTTATTACTATGGATGAGGGTATGAACAGATCACTCCAGAGAAGACCTCACTTGCCCAGAGTTTGGCCAGCCAAAGCTATACTCCTGGCCAAAAGGCATTCCTCACACCTGCACCAATCCACCCCCACTACCTCCCCTCTATCTTATTACATGAAGAGATAAAGCCCTGAATGTGAACCTGAACTCATTTATATTCAAGGGATGGTGGAATGAACCAGATGATCTTTTATATTCGCACTACCAAGCAAGTCAAGTATAGAATACAATTAAATAACTATGGGAAGCTCCCAGTTCATACTGTCTTAGGGGTTTATACTCAGTGTACTGCTTGAACATCAAACTCAACAAATGTGAAACGGAATTTACTGCTTTGATTTGTTTTGCACATTACTTTAAATCTTTTCATAGCAAGAAGCTGACCGTCTCCTTTGTTTAATCTCTTTCATGGGTCCTCCTTGCAAAGCAAGTCAAATTAGTTTAACATGACTAAAAAAGAAAGTATCATTCACATACACTTAGTGTATCTTAGGACCTTTTTGATAACTTTATTCATTCATTTCCCCCATTTTCTCCCATGACCTTAAGACAGCAGCATTTCACATTATATCCTTACAGCAGCCCTGCAAAACAGGGAACTGAAACTTGGAAAAGTCACACAGCTAGCAGGCCAGGAGGGATGGCGAACCTTTTAGAGCTTTCAAAGATACAAACAGCCCGCTGCAGCATGAATGGCACAGGTTCACCATCCTGTAGTGGTGTCAGGGCTACAAACTGCCTCTCTATCTTATCTGCTTAGCTTACCTCCCCACTACTCCACTCTCTTCTCCCAACATCTCTGAGGCATGTCCATGTCTGCAGGCCCTCTCCTGACTTACCTATGCCCACTGCCAACCGGCATTCTCAGTTTGCTGAGATCCAATTTAGGCACTGGTGCTGATCACTTCAGGTGCCCATTCCTCTAAGCTAGGAGCAGCTCTGGGTGAGAAGATTTATTTCCTGGTTTGTTTTAACATTCAGCACAACAGCAACAGCAACAGACATTCATGAGCAAATGAGACCAGCTATCATGTGGGGAATTCAGGAGAAAGTTGAAAGAATTAGCAAAAAGTAAAGTACTCTGTAAAGGCTGAATGATAAGCAACTGTGGAAAAGAAATTACTGAACCTTGGTGTCAGAAATTTAGGGATCTAATCCCAGCACTGCTGCTCACTGCTCAAAAGGTCTTATTCAACGGGAACAGATGTCATTCTTCCCTCAAAGAGGGGTTGTTATGTCTACCCCACCTCACTCACAGGCTCAGCCTAGGGTATCCAAGAGAACAAGCAAAAACAAGGAAGGACAATGGATTAGACAAACTTCATTCATTACTTTAGTATCTAACAGTTTTTCAATTTGCCAAATGCTTACTGAGAATTACGTTTTAAAACAATAAATAATAAAAAGAAACTCATGAATTACAGTGACCAAGTGACTGTTACGCACCATGCTTCTCTTATTGGAGTGCTATCTAATGCAGTGCTACAAAACCATTTTTGGAAATCTCAGAATCACTGCACTTACGTTCTATGTTTTAGGATCAGATGCAGAAAAGTTAAAAAAAAAAAAAGGCAAAGAAGGAAACAGATTATTATACAGCAAACATTTCTGCACTTAAAATCAAGGAATTCAAGTAAATTTAAAAAAGCTAGGTTACACAGTTAAACAAGTGGCTTATTTTACGACTTCCAAGAATCTTTTGTATGTTAACATACACTGTAAATCCTCAAAAGAGGGATAAGCATATAACTTGCAGTAAACTTAAGAACTTTCTTTAGGCATGTAAAATTTAGGTTCATAGATATTTCTCTTCAGACACTTTAGTGAACCAGTGCCCATTACTTTCCCTAACAGACATGGATGGTTGGAGGAACCTTAAAAGTTCCAATTATCAGCAACAGCTTTGAGATTTTCTCTGCCTTTTATTCTAGCAGGCAGGTACACTTGCACTAAGAATTATCCTTAAGTTTACAGCTGGTAAGAGAATTTTCAAAATGGTTTGTCAGTGCCTAGGAAGAAAAAGTGATCAAGATTCAACTATAATTGTTCCAGGCCTATATATTCCTTTTTAAAAGTTAATGTACTTGGGTGTGGTGGCACACACCTATAATCCCAACACTCTGGGAAGCAGAGACAGGAGGACTGCAAATTCAAGCCTAGCCAGAGTGATTTAGCAATACAGCAAGACCCTGTCTCAAAAAAAAAGTGGGGTGGGAGTAGTTATGGTGGGGTTGATGGAGATGTAGCTCAGTGCAAAAGTGTGAAGGTCTTGGGTTCAATCATCAATACTGTACAATAAAAAGTGAAAAAGGCGGGGCTGGGGATTTAGCTCAGTGGCAAAAAGCGCCTGCCTGGCAAGCGCAAGGTCGTGAGTTCGGTTCCCGGTACCGGAGAAAAAACAAACAAACAAAAAAAAAAAAGTGAAAAAGGCAAATAAAACCTTTTATAGTGGCTCTTGAAACAAGTACAGAGAAATAACAGCAATTACAGACTGTGTGACTCAGAACTAATGCTTATGGCAGTGAGAAAGAAGGATGGAGAGAGCTGCCCAGCTGCAGGGCCCCTGTAGGACAGCTGACCTGACCAGTGTGTCAAGGGGCAAAGATCAGTCTTCAGCTGACAGTGTCTCAGCACAATCAATTCTAGAAGCTACTTTAACCTAATCCAGTTCATAAAAGACTGACACACAAAATGGAATAGCAAGTTACTGATCTATTCACGAAGCAAGCAAGCAACAAGGAACAGACACTTGCATCTTGTGGCAAATGCATTCATTCTACCTTTATAGGAAGCCTTAATTAAGATTCAAAGATTACCTCTAGAAGACTGCTTGGTGAGCACCGCACCAAAAAGAACTGACTCAATTTAAATCCTTAATGGCATCAGGATAAGGTGGAACCCTAAGGAAAAATAATGCATCCTGCTAGGTGGCCCAGGACCCATGGCGCCTGGGAAGTGGCTGAAGAAAGTGAGAGGTACTGGAAGGCTCTGCTGTGACCAGGCTTTCCCAAAGGAAGCAGGATCAGGCCAGGGGTGGGCAGAATAAAACACCTTTGTGAAACACAGACTGAAGTGTTACGGAATTCAAAACAATTTTCAACAAGAGAAAGTATCTGTATTAATAGCATAGAAATAAATGAGGTCATTTTAGATAAGTATTTATGAACTTGATGTCTCACAAAAAGAGTAAACAAATGAGGCTTGTTCCAGCATAAAATCGTTTTACTCCAAAATCCAGAAATGGATGTCGTGTTGAAAAATCACTTTTAGCTACTGTATAATTTAATCATGATTAATATGTTCTTTCCATCTTGCTACACATATATGAAAGTATGTATGCCCTTTTAAAAGCCAATCAGGGCAAAATCTATGTCTGTTCATCCTTGGGATGAAAATATGCTAGGCACACAGGGGACATTCTGTAAGCGATATAACTCAACTCAAACTCCATGGTTTAAACTACAGACATGTTTCGTATGTAATAATTTTAACTGGGTTAAAAATTACAGACTCAGGGGAGGGCCATTGGCCAGGGCCTGTGGGTAGCTGGTTCAGCAAGGGGCTCAACTGTGGCCACTTGGCTTGCTGATATCCTGGTGCCACTCCCCAGCTAGTCCTACATGATGCACCAGTAACACAACACCAACTCCTCTCATACTCTGAGCGCTCCTCTGAGCAGCATTACCCTTTATACCAGCAAGCTGGCAGACACTATGGGGAAAAAACAAAACAAGAAGCAAGTGGAGGAGTACTACAGGGGAGACAGGCGGCTATGATGGAAAAGTTTTTGACCACTGAGCTATAAAGGGCACAGTGAGTGGACAGGTTTCTCAGAGGAGGACAAGCCGGAGCCAGAAGTGAACCTGGAGGCCTTGACCTCATTGCCAAGTTTCTACAGTCATGGAAGATAGCATACGAGACATATAAATCAGAGGGAGCCTAGCACAACGCTGATTCTGACTGAAGATACGGAGAGGAGAAGAGGCAGGACTCCAGTGGAGAGCTTACTTAAGTCTAGTGATAATGGGCTGGCTGCTGGCACAAAAGCTAAGGTCAGGGCCCCACAGGCTGTCATACGCTGCTATGAGAACCAGCCCTTGTTACCTCTGACTGGGTAACAGGTAGGGAGGGGAGGATTCTACTGGTTTAAAGGTGTCATCAGAAGGCGTCCCTTCAAGATCAATGCAGTTTCTGTGCTGCAGCAGACTAGGTACTTAGAGCTGTTCCTAGCTAAGAGTTTACACATCCATCCCAACAGAGGGGAAAGTGGCATTTCACGGCAACCC